TTTCCTGTCAACTCGTCTACCCCACCCTGGGATAAACAATAGTTCTGATCTCTATCATCATCTGATTACTTCAGTTCATTCTTGAACTTCGTATAATAGAATCATACACATGTCTGATTTCCTTTGCTACATGGAGTAGGTGAACATGTCATATCTAATAATGGCTGATTTAAAAAATATATGTGTGTGTATGTATGAGTTTGATATAATATATAGAATTCCATTGTGAGTATGCCACAATTTATTCATTGTGGGCATTTGGATCATTTCCAGCTTATGGCTATTATGAATAGCTATATGTATATGAATATTCTTCTATATGCCTCTTTTGGTCATATGCACTCAGTCTCTTGGGGATCTATCTAGGAGGGGAGCTGCTAGTTCATAGGATAAGCATATATATTACTTTAGCAGAAACTGCAGCTTTCCAAAATGGTAGTATCATTTTGTACTCCTACCAGTAATGTGTAAGAGTTCTAGTTGGTCCACTTCTCACCAACACTTGTTAATGTCACTTTTATTTATTTTATTTATTATTATTATTATTTTTATTTATTTTTGAGACAGAGACAGAGCATGAGCAAGGGAGGGGCAGGGAGAGAGGGAGACACAGAATCTGAAGCAGGCTTCAGGCTCTGAGCTGTCAGCACAGAGCCCAATGTGGGGCTCGAACTCACAGACCGTGAGATCATGACCTGAGCCGAAGTCAGATGCCCAACTGACTGAGCCACCCAGCTGCCCTGGTAATGTCGTTTTTAATGTCTTGGTGATGTCTTTTCATTTTAGCCTGTCAGTGGGTGATTTTGGTCTGACAAATGTGATGGATGTCTAGACAAGGAGGCATTTTTTCCAAAAGAACCAAATTATTTTACCCTGATCGCTTTGTTTGCAAGGGGTTATTTATGATTAGTCCTTCAGATAAATTTAGTTGAAAAATTTAAAATATTCTAATATAACTCTCACCCCAATTTTTTTCATGCTAGTTTTATGTAAGGTAACTTTGGATATATGTGTTTGATTTCTGTTGGGTAGCTTTTCAGTTCAGTAGCTAACTTATTTCTTAACTCCTAAAAATATCTTGATAATAAAGGCATTTCTACAAAGAGGTAAAGGGAAGGTTCCCTTTGAGGTAAAATGGAAGGACTAGAATGGAATGCTTACTGTTAAACCTCTTAACTATAACTCTTAAGGTGCCAAAAGTGTGCCAACAGCCTAAATAATTCTGTTTATCTAGTACTCTGCAAGGAGAAAAGAAACTTGGCAGATGTATTAGTGGTTCCTGATTTATTAGATCATGTTGTTCTCGCTTTAGGAAACATGGAGTTGGAACCTAAGCCAATGTGACCCAGAATTTCATTCTGTCAAATGCAGGGAGCACTATCACAGTGCTGGTTCATAGCACTGGGGACAGCTGGAGAAGGTCAAGGCCAGGTGATCAGGAGGCATGAATGCCGTAAAGGTGGTACCAACATAGGGAGAAAGGCTGGTCATTCTAGGTTTGAAAGGAAGCAACTGGAAACTTCTTTTACTTCAGAATCCTATCATAGATTGGCCTTGAACTCTGGACGAAAGATGTCTGAGGTATGCTCACAAATGGGGAGAGAAGGAAGTATTATGTAAGAAAGATTATCATAGTTTGCTTCTGCTAGGTGGGTTGCAGAGAGAAAAGCAACAATACCTCTCAGAGGTGGCATTGTTTTTTTTGTTTCTCATCGTTAATTAATATTTTACTTTAAAGGACTCTAAGGTGAGTCCTCTGTTAGGAACGGTATTTAATATTTATTTTATCCACACCTGCCAGGTGCATCACAGTCAATCTGCCCTCTGTCAACTACAATATTACACAAGGTTGCAGATGTAAATGTCAGTGGTCGAAAGGAAAAATAGTCCTGGGTTTAAACTGGCAGCTCAAGAGTGGAGAAGAAATGTGGAAAATACATAGTAAATGTGGAATCCTCTAGAAACCAGCCTGTGAGTATTCGTTTTTCATTTGATAACTTGTCTATATGAATTTTATTTCTAGTCTGAATAGAAAACCCTAATGCTTTTCACATAATATCACAGAAACAATGCTTATGTATTCTTTACCAAAAAAAACCCCATAAACAATTATAATTGGTAAGGAAAGGGCAATTTATTAGCTTTTCAACCAATACCTATAAATCAGAAATCTTGTATTTTTTTGTGCTACATGTAAACAGAACTTAAACTTTTATTTTCTGTGTTATTAACCTAAAATATTAGTATTTTCCTGGGACTACAATTAAAATATAATATGCTGTTACAACCATGCATAAAGGGGGTTCAGCATTTGTAAAAGCATTTTTTTAAGTTTGATATCTAAGTTTTGGTGTATAATTCATAGATTTTTAAGGCTAATTCTAAAGATTTATGACTCAAATAATTCTAATACTTGGAAAATCAAGAAATTAATCTTAAATGTACTCTAAAACTTCAGTGAAACAACCAAGAAACCCTGGTTCATGTAGACATCATTTTGGCAGTTATGTTTTTCATACCCAAGAGTTAACCCATTGTTTTGTCTTTATATTTGTCTTGGCAATAGAAACAAATGTGGAAATGTAGTTAGAAATAGACAGTTTAAAGAATAATTTGTAAGTGTGTAGAGAAATGTTTTTTTCCACCCATGAGATAGACAAGGAGGTCATGTTGCTCAATAAATATTTTTTGAATGATTAAACATCAAGGAAGATACTCCTGTCTCAAAAACAAGAGATTTTTAAATAATCTATTTTTCTAGTTCATGTGACTCCCCCCAACCCCCCCATAAAAAGGTCTTCAGGTATATCTGAATCCTCAGAACTGGATGTTCGTTATGTTGAAATACTCAGATTAAAACGGAAAGTAGTTGCCTTTAGTGAGGCATTAGTTCATCATTTTGGTGGTTTTTATAGATAACAAAGCAGATGATAACACAGTTAGAAACATTTCAAATTCTATAAAAACAAGGTATAGGATGTATACATATTGCCCTCTGACAATTTCTTTCATGTGGATATTTTGTCACAGTGGTAGAAAAACCTTGTCCATCTGAGGACAATTTCAACCGATGCAATAAAACATCACTTAAAAGTACATTTTAAAAAGCAATCTAGGTTTTTTTTCTCTTGGCAAAATATTATACCTTAAACTTTAACACCATAACTCTTCAATAAATCTACCAAGTGCATTTCAGTTGTAGTAAATAACATTAGTGACTAATTCTGATTAGAGTCAAACCAGAGCCAGGATAAAACAATGATGGAAGTAATAATCAGGATTCAGTATTTGTGACAAAATCCAAAATTCTCCCTTGGCGTGGTGTAGCATAGTGACCCAGCATCATTGGATTTTCACTCCTGACAAGTTACTACCTATGGGTCTTCCTTTTTAGAAGGGGCTGGGTTTCTAATAGGAGAATGAGATTCAGGAAGCTGACCTGATGAGAGTTTTGATTGGATTACAGAGTGTGTTAAATGTTTAAGTTCATCAACCTCAGGCAAATTGAGTCATGACTGAAGACTAAAGCATGGTATCAACACATTTAAAAAAAGCACAACTATTTATAGAGCTGAATCCAGATTTCCTAAGTGCTCCTGAGTGATCAGCAGAATGTTGCTAAAATTTATTTATTCCACTGAAATCGTTAACTTCGAAAGTGCACCTCCATGATCTCCATGATCTAACTGGCAAGGTATGCTTGTCCGTGTTTAATCACAGTCATGGTTTTATTTTAGTGGTTGAGTTGCAACGGACTACTGTCCCACCCACACAAATAATTTACCCATTTAACATTGTTGGTCAGCAAATTTAATAACCATATAGGAATAACAAGATTCAGAGAGAGGGTGTGCAAATAGCACATTTCTATCCTGTTATGAAGAAAGTCCTAGATAATTCATAGTTTCTAGAGGTCACAAAATGTCCCCCCAGATTCTGATTTCAGTAAGTCTACTTCTCCTTAGAATAATATATTAGAATTTCCCCTTCTTCTAAGGGGAAGAAACTTCAAAAAAACACTTTCTTCCAAAAAGTTTTCTTATGTTTTTCTTTTACAAATCAACTACAAAATATTTCTGATATTCAAAAGATTTAAAGAGGAATTCGGCACCCTGTATCTACCACTCAGCTTAAGAAATGAAACATTACACAGTTCTTTAAAAATCAGTCAAGATTGGGGTATGCTGATGGGTGCCTTGAGCCAGACTTCTTAAAAGGGTGCTCAGGCACCCAGGAGTTTCCCCACGTCCTTCAAGAACAGGCTTCTTCTGGGAAGAGTGGGCAGGTCTGCAGTGCTGCAGGCCTGACTGTGTTCTTCTGAGCCTCCTTGGTGCTTAGTGCATCCCAGTCCTTCTACGCGCTTCTCCTCCATCAGGAGCCTCACACACATTCGCACACAGCTCGAAGCATGTAGGGCAACTGGCAGACTCCCCCTACATCCTGTTTGCTTTCCTGGGAAGTTTTCTGTCCACCTACCCAGACCAGGTTCCTCAGCCGGGCCCATGGGCTAGCCCCCATGGTATTCAGAAGAGAACATTTTCTCATGGATGGGTTTGGGTGAATGGGCCAGAAAAAACAAAAACAGACAAAAAAGCAAGTTGGGGGGAGTCGGGAAGGAGTTGGGGAGGGAGGGTACCTGGGTGGCTCAGTTGGTTAAGCCTCGGACTCTTGATTTCAGCTCAGGTCATGATCTCATGGTTTGTGAGTTTGAGCCCTGCGTTGGGCTCTGCACTGACAGTCCTTGGGATTCTCTCTCTTCCTCTCTCTCTGCCCTTCTCCTGCTCATACTCTCTCTCTGTCTCTCAAAATAAATAAATAAAAACTTAAAAAAAAAAAAGCAAGTGGGGACAGTGGCCTGACAGACTCTGAAGATGAACGGGACTTGTTTTATGATGAGCTGGAAGATTGTTCTAACGTGGGTGTATGCTTCGGTGTGTGACCTGGCATGCTGGTCCCTTCTTTACTGCACACTGAGTGGCACAGGTCTCTCAGCTGCATTTGCTCTTATGAATTTGGTCGATACCGAACCTTTTCTAGTCCTTTTTTTATATGAAATTTATTGTCACATTGGTTTCCATACAACTCCCAGTGCTCATCCCAACAGGTGCCCTCCTCAATGCCCATCCCCCACCCTACCCTCCCTCCCACCCCCCATCAACCCTCAGTTTATTCTCAGTTTTGAAGAGTCTCTTATGGTTTGCCTCCTTCCCTCTCTGTAAGTTTTTTTTCCCCTTCCCCTCCCCCATGGTCCCCTTTCTAGTCCTTAATTGCCCCTTGCTGTTAAGTCTTTTAGTATTATTGTATTTTTATATATAATATGTATTTCTGACTTTCTTTTTTACTTTTTGAAAGAATAGACTCACTGACTTTTGTTCTTACAGAAGTGTTTCAATAATGATTTTCTACTCTCTCATGATACTGAAGGAGGAAAACTTTTTTTTTTTTCCATCAAGAGCCATTTGGATCAATGGAATAAAATATAACTTACATGAAAATATAGATTTTATTAGTTAGGATAGTTTTACTTAGGAAGTTCAACTCAATGGATTTCCTGTTTTCCAGGTGATTGGTCCTGGTAGCCACACTCAAGTCCAAGTGATCAGAAACTCACAATTCAGTATGTCAGTTTCCATCATCAACTGATGTCACTGATGATGCTGGCACATATGTTGCTCCTACCTTTGTCAACCTGGGGACTCCTGGACGCTCACAATATCCAAAGAGAGACTTTCATCATGGACAGGTAATGTTTGGGTTACACATGGCCAACATTTCTACGCAAAAAAAAAAAAAAAAATTGATTCGTTGTTAGTACAATACACGGACAGGGAAAACAAGAGAAGGAGATTTGTGAGGGCTTGCCTTCCAAGAGCCTGTGTTCTTCTTTGGGGAAAAAATGTACACATGTAGAGAATAATATCAAATTAAAGACAATAAAGCAAATTTGGGAGCCCCTGTTTTATGTGGGTTAAGTAGGTGTGAAGAGAGTCAATATCTTGGCAGTGAAAGGGCTGTTTTGCAAAAGAGGCTCGGATGGAAAACGATGTCTTCTGTTTCATGCCCCAGGGCTGCTCTGTGGGTCGTCTTCCTCACCGTCCTTCCCTCTTGCCTCTGAGACTGACTGTGGCCCTTCTTTCAGCCCTTCTGTGTCTAGTCCTCCTATCCATGTTTTGCCCTCTCTGTTTGGTGACTTGATTCGCATCTGTGTTCCTGACTGCATATTCACCTGGCCTTGTGGCCATAGCTATGTGTCTTACCTCCAGGGAGAAATATGATCTTGACTGACCTTGACTGCTGCCCTGCTTAGAGGCTCATTAAAGAGGGCCTGAGCTTAACTCTCTTTTTTTTTTTTTTTAAATATTTATTTTTGAGAAAGAGAGAGAAGAGACAGTATAAGCGGGGTAGGGGTAGAAAGAGAGGGAAACACAGAATCCGAAGCAGGCTCCAGGCTCTGAGCTGTCAGCACAGAGCCTGACATGGGACTCAAACCCATGAACTGCGAGATCATGACCTGAGCCAAAGTCAGATGCTTAGCTGACTGAGCCACACAGGCGTCCCTTAACTCTTTTTTAAATATTAATTTTTAAAATGTTAATTCCAGTATAGTTAACATGCAGTGTTATGTTAGTTTCAAGGATACAACGAAGTGATTCATCAGTTCTATGCATCACCCAGTGCTCACTCCTTAATCCCCATCACCTATTTCACCCATCTCCTCCCATCTCTGCTCTGGTAACCATCAGTTTGTTCTCTATAGTTAGGATTCTGTTTCTTGGTTTGTCTCTCTCTGAGATTAACTCTTAACACAAAATAAGAGACTCTTATCTTTTAGGTCTGAGAGCAAAGTGAAGAATGAATGACCTTGATCTGGGGGAGTTACTTAAAATGACTTCTCTTGCTTGCCAATTTATCTATCACTGAACAGAAGGAGATTTAGTTACCATCTGGTCTTACATTATTTAACAGACGGGGAAAATATCGTTCTGGAAGGGCCACATTTTTGCAAGAGTTCACGTGTTAAGTTAGCGGTGGGTTAGCCTGAATGCTCACTTCTTCTGCAGGGTTCCAATCTGCCTGGCTTCATCCTGCCCCTGGTTTGATTCAGCACAAGTAGTGCCTGTTCTGAGTTCTGAGGTTAGTCATTTATTTCCTCCTTTTCCAGGCTTCCTTTAGCCAATGCCTGGACCCTGTGGTGCAAGGTGACATTTGGTGACTGCTGGTGCCCTTATTCCCTGGACATCCGAACTGGGGCTTCCTTCCTAAAACTGAAGCCCGCATTTCCTAGCAGTGAGACCTACTCCGTTCTTTTCAAAGATGTGAGTTGTGTTGTGCCTCTCTCCTGCTGCTCCCGAGCTCAGTTACGGAAGGGAATGACAGCGAGCTAATCACAGATTTTAAAATTGAGCAAGTGTCAGGAATGCACCAAGTATATTATATACCTTATTATCTTCTTTAATCCTTACACTTATCCTTGGATACAGGTATACCTCTTCTTGTGAAGAAATAGAGGCTTAGGACATTAAGGAAATTGCCAGGTATTAGCCTGTTTATAAGAGTCACAGATGAAAGTCAACCAGGAATCTTTAGAATCCAAAGCTCTTAATCACTGTGCTACACTGCTTCTGATAAAAATAAAATAATTAAAAAAAATTGAAATCTCTTTTTAATTCTTTCCCTGAAGACTGAATATTATTCACCACCTTAGAGATAAACAAACAACCAAAACAAAACAAGCAAACCTCAAGACTCAGAGGAGTTAAGAAACTTGCTTTTGATCTCAGGGGTTTGGGATTTAAACTCAAATTTGACTGCAGAGCTTGGATTCTCGTTGTTGTGCTGCTTATCCAGCAATATTTGCTGTTGTATCATCATCATTATCACCATCTCACGATCCTTATAGAGCGTTTACTACGTGACAAGCTGTGTTCTTACAACTTGGCACATATCATCTTATTCAGGCCTCATAAAAGCCCTGTGAGACAGCTCTATGACCATTCTGGTTATACAATCGAAGTGTCGGGGTTTGAATCAAGTGGTCGAGCTCACTGGGGAATCTGGCCCAGGCCCAGCATCCACTGCCTGACTTGCATGGTGCTTCGTAAGTTACAGTGCTATTTGATTTGCGCTAAGCTGTACGTAAGTCCTGTAAGTCAAGTGTCTTTATTACCAGCATCCTACAGTTAAGAAAATGGGTAGTTAGAAAGGATAAGCAATTCTCAAAATGAAAGTAGCCAACAGGAGCTGGGTTCCAACAAGGACAGTCCCAGCCCAAATTTCATGCTGCTGAATAGTAACCTGAGTTGAAATGTTTTAATTTTTTTTTTTAATGTTCTCTTATTTTTGAGGGGGAGAGAGAGAGAGAGAGAGAGAGAGAAAGAAACAGAGCATGGGGTGGGAAAGGGGCAGAGAGAGAGAGAGAGGGAGACACAGAATCCAAAGCAGGCTCCAGGCTCTGAGCTGTCAGCACAGAGCTCGACGTGGGGCTCAAACCCATGGACTGTGAGATCATGACCTGAGCCAAAGTAGAACGCTTAACCCACTGAGACATCCTAGCCAGCGTTGAAATGTTATCCAGAGAATTGCCAGAATCAATACTGAAACTATAGCTACCAGAAGAACCACTACTTTCACCTGAAGCAACAACGGAACCTACAGGCACAACGGGCGTCACCACAGATGTGCTCTCATAATGGCTACCACTGCTGTCTCCACCGAACGACGCATTGCCCCAGCCACTACTATCAGGTTAAATGAACCTGAAACTAGCATAGCCTTGTCTGAAACTACAACTACCACAATTTCTACCGGACCGATAACTAGAACAGCTGCTAAAATTTCAGGGGAACCTATAAATATCTGTTTGTACTGAACCGAGAGCCATAATATTCCTGACGACTCTTTCAGCCGAACCTGTGACCACAGCATCCAACATGGCTTTAACTGGACTAAAAATCACCAGACTATCTGCCGAACATACGCCCACGATATCAAAAACAACAAGCACCACATCTTAAAGCCCATGACCACAACACTGCCACCACTTGAAGCGAATTACTGTCATAATAGCTTGTGTTTCTGCCTGGCCAAAACCAATACCCAGTTACCATAATTTCTGTAAAAACCTGTTACCACAACAGCTACCACCATTTCAATTCAATTTACAGCCGTGACAGGAAACACCACTGCAGCTGACCCTACAGCCATGTTAGCAAATACCACTTCAGCTAAATACACAACCGCTTTAATTTCTACTGGTCCTCCTACTACATAGTTACTATTATCACCCCCATTTCAATTCACTCCTACTAACAGTACCTTAAGTGAACAGAGTACCTACCCCACTTCGGCTAAAATGCAGCTATCATGATGTCTACTGAATCCACCATTGTAATCATGTCAAATTAAACTACATCTACCATTACTTCACCTGAGCCTACAATTTCCACACCTGCTGCCATTTCAACCGGAAATACAACCCACAACAGGTACCAGCACAACCACTGTTTTCACTGCCAGTGAACCTTCTCCGGTAAATGCTAATACCACACGTCTTATAGCAACTATACTACAGTGGCCCTCTCCACAAAAACCCAGTCTTTAATTACTACCTTGAGGTTGTAACATATAACCATCCCCAGAGTTGCTCCTACTCTAAATTTAATGTGCAAATGCTATCACAAGTGATTGTTTGGCTAACAGAAATATTCCACCGGAACCTGTAGCAGTAACACTTCAACTATAACAATAACGGTTACCAATTGCACATTACCAATGCACAACACCAGATCTGCCTCATTTGCTTTCAGTGCCAATCAGAGCTCTATTTTATTAGGAATGATACTTTGTTTTGTAAGAGTTTGACCCAGACATCCCAGACATTTTTTCCTTTAGTACGTGAATTCTGTGTATTGAGTCCATATGTTATATGAATATATTAAATAAACTTACATGGGATAATTTTTAAGTACTACATTTTGTTTTCTTCATGTGTAAAATTATGTTGTTTTAATAATTTTTCTTCAGATTGCTTTGTCAAGCAGCATAACTGCTAGAATTGTTTGCTGTTCTTTCATTTACTGAGTGCCTGTCTCCCAAAATATTGAGGAAGATACAGAAGAAACAACAATACTGGCATGATTATTAAGATAATTAATTTGAACACTGTTCGAATTCTACTCTTTGTTAGAATTCTTAGATAGTGAGATTTAACCTGACTTTGATTTGCTTGGGCTCCATCTCAGCCTGCCGCACCAACAGGAGGGGGCCAGGATCGCATGTTTATGAACACTTTTACAGTTGCTTTTTAAAAAAAGCTTCTTTATTTATTTTGAGAGAGAGACAGACAGAGAGAGAGCATGCATGTGCCTGAGTGGGAGAGGGGCAAGAGAGAGAGGGAGAGAGAGAATCCCAAGCAGGCTCTGTGCTGACTGCACCAGGGCCCAACACGGGGCTTGATCTCATGAATGGTGGGATCATGACCTGAGCTGAAATCAAGAGCCAGACTGAGCCACCCAGGTGCCCCCCCCCAACTCTAATCTTAACTTAGGTTTATAAAACGTCGCTTAAAGCATATGTGTCTCATCACGAAAGTGAGAATAATAATACTTAATTCTTGTAATTCTACTTAATTCTTGTAGGTGTTGTTAGGATTAGCTATGAGCAGTGTGGTATACCCACTGGACTGGGCATATCCCTGTAATGTTAATAATATTATGTTAATCAAATCTTAGATCACAGTCTGTCCAACGGTGCCGTTGTTTGCTGTAATCCAGCAATAATTGAAACTTTTTATTCTTCTTCTCATCTCCATTTTTAAAATGCCAGTTAGGAATCATTTTATCAAGTGAAGAATTTATAAACCAATATTTCGGAGCAATAAGAATAAGGAAGGATATATTAGTTATTTTTAAAAATTGTAAAATTTCTACAAACCACATATATAGTCCCTCATATGAAGTGCTCGGATGAGATGTGTTCTACAATTCAGATTTTTTTAAAATGTTTTATTTTTTTTTGAGACAGAGAGAGACAGAGCATGATCAGGGGAGGGGCAGAGAGAGAGGGAGACACAGAATCCGAAGCAGGCTCCAGGCTCCGAGCTGTCAGCACAGAGTCCGACGCAGGGCTCGAGCTCACGAACCGTGAGGTCATGACCTGAGCCGAAGTCGGACGCCTAACCGACTGAGCCACCCAGGCGCCCAACAATTCAGATTTTTAAAAATTTTATGACGGCAGTACGATACGTTATACAACACCCCCATCAGGACTGTGGTAGTAAACGTGCAATACACATCAATATTTTTGTAGTTAAACATATGAATAATCATGCTAAATTGATTAAAGGTTAGTTTTGATTAACTTTTGCTGTCAACTAAATTTGTGCCAAATACACAAAATAATTTGTTTCCAAAGCCTTTTGGATTTTGGAATTGTGCATCAGGGATCACAGACCAATATTCTGAAGAAACAATGGTTTAATTTTGGGTGTCCCCAGATGTAGCAGGACCAGCGTTTAAGTCATTTGAAAGAACAAGGAAAATTTTGGCTTGGTAGAAAAGAGAACTTCTGAACCCTGAAGGTCACTGTAAAATGGAATATCAGACCCTACAAAAACCATGAATTCCCAGTCCCTGTGGTCAGAGATGAACTATGCCATTGCTGTTTATTCTGTAGAAACTGACATATTGACCATTATGGAACCGATTTCCCAACATACAAAAAACGTGTACCTTTAACTAAATAAAAAAAAAAAGTTCTCTTTGTTTAAACAAAAATATTACAATTAAAAAAATTTGAAAGTAAAATCAAAAGCCAAACATTCAATCAACAAAGCGTAGGGGATAAATAAGGGTTTTGTCTGTCTTAATCAATGCTGTCTGGATATCCAGGGTTGAGACATGCCTGGGGCGTGCGAGGTGTTCAATAAACAGTTGGGGGTAAGTTACTGAAAAACCATGTTCTGTCAGTATAAACATATATAAAATTTGTAAGTAGACTTCAGATATGTAATTAAGAAATTCAGTGACATGCATCAAAACATGTTTTTCTCCTGAAATTTCTATTTTAAGTAGGGCTAATTATTCTAGTTCCATTGTATTACTGAAATACTTTTTAATTACTTTTGATTCAGTGAAGGAACACCTGCTGTAGAGATGGAGTCAGCTTTGAAAATACAATAAAACACCCTGATAGTGTTACGATTACCATATATAAACACATTTGCTGCAACTTTCAGGTTTCATTTTCAACTTTACTTTTAATGATTACTTCTAATTGCTTTGATAATAAATTTGATAGGGCACTTTGAAGATTTATTTTTGTTCTTTTTTTCCTTCCACAATGATCTTTCATACTTTTGAATTAATTGGGTTGCATATCAGTATTTTACTTAGGCTTTGAAATTCTGTGCCTGATTGTTTGCTTGTAATGCCAATAACAGAATGAAAAACTGTAATAATCCCTTTCCCTAAAATGTCTAAGATCAGAGAGCTCCAGCCGTCATATTGGCTCTCATATTATTAACTGACCAAAGAAGTCATAATCAAAGCATAGTGAAATTTCAGGCAAGAAAGATTTGTTTGAGTAACATGATTAAAAAAAGAAAAAAGTTTTG